CCTACTGGGTGTCACTTCAAAGAGGCATCTCAAGTGGTCCTTTGTTCAAAGACATGGAATAATTCCCATAAAAGGAACTCTATTTCAGATATGAATTTCACAGGAAATGCTTTTCACTGTGAATATTCGGCTATTGGGGAAAGACTGTGCTACGCTTAGTTTTGTGCCTGGCAATTAGTCCTGAACACATTACAGACTTTGGAGCCATGGGCGTCTAGGTGTGATCCTTCATTTCCTCATTTGCTAGTCCTGATTGTAAAGAAGCTACTTATTCATTCAGCTCCCGCTGTCTTCCTTGCTTCTGATTTCTTGAGAAAGGGTGTCAAACTACCCGGCTCATCAGAACTCACCGTGTAACATGATTTCATGAACCTCTTGTTTCTAACTCCCAAATGCTGGCATTTTCTTATATTTTTGGTTGTGAGCCTAGCCTTTAACGGCTGAGCCATCCCTCCAGGCCGATGCTGGCATTTTCTAAGTTGCAAAAATTGGGCTAGCAGCAATATTACTTGGCTAATATTTGCAAAGTATCCACCGAGGTAGCTTGGTGAAAATATAAGGACATCAGGGATCTGGGTGTGCAGGGGTTAAAGGAGTATTGCATGAAAGGCAAACATGGCTATTAGCACAATACCTGCCATGCAGTGAGTGATCATTTCATTTTATTAACATGGAAGCCATTCTGTGGGATCCTGCTGATTCCAAGGACGTGATGATACTGCCTAAGGACCCTCCTCTGGGGAGGGATGTCTCACTAACTGACAAGGTGCCAGGGTAACAGTTGTAACACATCAATCACTGAAACTTCATGTTTCTATTTCCGTTTCCTAGGAAACAGGCTAATACTCTGACCATAAGCCTGGGAACCCTGGCTGTGCAGACGTTAAAGCTTCCTAAATGCTGTTGCGATCACCCTGGGCTGGTTAAGAAACCCCAGGTCTGCAGAGGGCTTATATTATTTATGCATTGCTATGGATACAGCACAAAGGCAGGCGCCAGTAATATGGACAGGATGTGGGATTTAAGGCAGCTAGCGACAGGGACCATTCTCTCTGAATGTATTATTCCTGGAAAACTTATTTATTTATTTATTATGTATACTCCTGGAAAACTTTTGCAAAATATTTGGGGCATGAGGCACACCACTGAGAACATGACTTTGGGTGGGTCATTCCACACTCCTGACAGGCAGCTTGGGGAAAAGTTGAGAGGTACATGTGCCATGGCGCGCGCGCGCACGTGTGTGTGTGTGTGTGTGCTGGGATCAAACTCAGGCCATTAGGCTTGGGGGTAAGCACCTTACATGCTGAGCCATTTCACCAACCCCTGTACTGTATACTTCAAATCCATCCTAGCTAAATTGATCAAAATAGAATTTGGAGGTGTCTACAATGAACTGTGTTAGCCAGCTCAGTTCAGCCTTTCTTTCTTCCTTCCTTCCTTCTTTTTTTCTTCTTCAAGACAGGGTTTCTCTATGTAGCTCCAGCTGTCCTGGAACTCACTTTGTAGACCATGCTGGCCGTGAACTCAGAATTCCACTTACCTCTGTCTCCAAGTGTTGGGATTAAAGGTGTGCGCCACCACGCCCAGCTATGGCTTTTTTTTTCTTACTTGCCCTTCACAAGTGGCTATCAGTTGGCTCTTCCATACTGTCTTCAAGATAGATTGTTCCCCCTCTAAGGGAGCAGCACGGAATGTGAACAGCTTAGGTCTTCTTGGCAAACTGTCAAGTATTAAATGAAAACCAGACAGGTACTTAGAGTGCTTTTGGAGATGCCAGTGTTAAATGGCGGCTGACATGTGGCAACACAATAGGGCCTTTCTGTTACAAATATATTACTCTTTATTTAAATTAAAAATATGCACACAATAATAATGTATGTTTATATGACATGCATATTTAACGCATAGGAATTGTTGCCTGGGACTGAGGACAGCGAGGAATGGGGATAAAAGGAAAACAAGCAAGAGAAGACTTAAAGAGATGATGTCATGCTCTCTGGAGACAGAGCTGTTAAGTGGAGCTGAGCTGAACAGAGCTGTCACTCAAAGGAGCAAACCCCTGCTCATGGCCTGGTGCTCTCAAGAGCAAACAAGGGCAGCAATCAAAGACTGAGCAGGGTGCTGGCGGTGGCGGTGCATGCACACCTTTATCCCAGCGTTCGGGAGGTGTGGCAGAGGCAGGGGGATCTCTGTGAGTTCGAAGCCAGCCTGGTCTGCAGACCAGGTTCCAAGACAGGCTCCAAAGCTACAGAGAAACTCCATCTCAAAAATAAATAAATAAATAAATAAATTAAAAAAGACTGAGCAGGACCTTACTGTATAAAGACACCTGTGTATGAAAGCCATTGCTTTGCATGCTAACCTGCAAACGGAAAGAAAGCAGTGTTCTGTTCACCACCCACTCTCAGAGGTTACTGCTACTGTGGTCACTTTTTCCTTGGAAAGAACAAATTCATGCATTTGTCTTCCCTTTTGAGGAGCTCTACTTCTTCTTGATTGACTCATTTCATTCCCAGTAACATCAAAGGGAAAGGAAATGAATCATGATTGTCCTGGGTAAATAATCCCAGCTCAATGAACCAGTAACGAATTCTCAGGAGTTGAAGCAGGAAGTTCTTGAAGATATGGTTCTTTTAAAATACTCTTAGAGCAGGGCAGTGGTGGCACTCACTTTTGGTCCCAGCACTTGGGAAGCAGAGGCAGGTGGATTTCTGTAGTTAGAGGCCCACCTCGTCTCTAGAGAAAGTTCCATGACAGTCAGGGTCACACAGAAAAACCCTGTCTCAAAAAATAAAACAAAACAAAACAAAAAAAACAAAAAAAACAGCCGGATGGTGGTGGCGCATGCCTTTAATCCCAGCACTCAGGAGGCAGAGGCAGGTGGATCTCTGCGAGTTCAAGGACAGTCTACAGCCTGGTCTTCAGAGGTTATTTCCAGAACAGCCAAGGAAACCATATCTCAAAAACAAAAACAAAACAATCTAAAAATATCTTCGAGACCCCTGAAATGGTCACCATAGATCAAATAAGAGACCATGGAGTGTTAAGCTTTAAACTGGATGTTCATATCATATGCCCTTCCACACAGGCTTAGGGATCTTGTAGAGCGGGGTGGTGTGGACGAGATTGCCAGAGGCAGAGGTGGTGGGAAGCAGCAAGGAGACTCTTTCCTGGTTACGGAAGGGCATTTGCACACGTGACCGCACAGTGACTGTCACAGCATGCATGAGACCTGCACAAACTCAAGCTGGGCAGAATCTCAGCACAGGATGTGGGCACAAAATCCTACCAGTGGCCGAGGAAGCTGTTGGCATTTGATAGCTTCAGGGAGAGGGAGAGGCAGTTTCCTTTACTGGGTGACCCCTGGCAGGTCAACCACACATTGGGGCAGGCCAAGACAAGCTGGGCAAAAATAATGGGGTTGATGGGGGTTAGAGGATTAGAAAATTCAAAGTTGAGTGGGAAAGAATGGGAGGGTGAAGGTGGTGGTTATAGGAAGAATTGGGGGAAGGGAAAGAAAGTATTCAAGATACATTGTATGAAATTATCAAAGAATCAGTAAAGATATTCTTAAAATATTTGACAATTTCATACATGAACCTAATGGATTTTGGTTGTGTTCAGCCTTTCATTAGCCTTCCTCTTCCTCCTCTCACTGAAAACTGTCTTCTAATGCTGTGGGAGCTCCTTCAGCTCCTTCAGCCAATAGCCTTTAAGATACCATCCCACTTGAGTGCGGTCTCTTACACTATAAAGCATGTGTGTATGTATGTGTGTGTGTGTATGTGTGTGAGTGTGAGTGCACACGCTCTTTCTCTCTCTTGCTTCCAGCTACTAGACTCTTTCCTGTTTGTGCAGAGGGCTGTAATCTAGGACAGTGATCTGAGTCTTCCTTAAATAAACAACCTTTTATTATACGTCATTCTGAACTAGTGTGGGATTATTTTGTGTCTTCCACCATCATTCTAAACTATCTCCTATTTTCAAGTCTTTGTATTTGTGGGTGGGTGGGAGGCCCACTGAGTGTAATAATGATGGCTTGAATGAGCATCACTGGGGTTAATTACTAGAATATGTGTCTTGTCGGTGGCTATCCCACTGAAGAGCATGATACTCCCTCTACCAGCATCCATTAACTTCCCACAGTTCCTTCATGGGGGGCGAGGGGCATCATTTGGCTCTTCCGTGTGCATGATGAAATAGGTGATGGGTGATGGGACCAATCTTGAGCAGGCCACTACAGCTTCAATGAATCCACAATGTCGTGTCCAGAAGAGACTGGTTCACAGCGCTCCTCCCCATCCTCCAGCTGTTCCATTCTTGACAGCTTGTTTGGAGATTCTAGCAGGGGAATATGCTGCTTAGCTTCTTGTCTATTGCTATGAACAGACACCATGACTAAGGCAACTTATAGAAGAAAGTATTTAATTTGGGGTCTCACTGTTCCAGAAGGTTGGAATACAAAATCACGAGGTAGGGAGCATGGAGTAGAAGCTGGGAGCTTATATGCTGAGAAAACAAAAAGAGGCATTGAAGGTGGGGTGGGGGAGAACATAAATAGATAATGGCCTGGACTTGTTAAACCTCAAAGCTAACCCCCTCCAACACACCTCCTCCAATAAGGCCACACCTCCTAATCCTTCCCTAATAGTTCTACCAACTAGGAGCTAAGCATCCACATTTATGAGCCTTACCTCAAGACCCAGCAATACTGCTGTTGGGTCTATACCCAAAAGATGCTCAATCATACCACAAGGATATGTGCTCAACTATGTTCATAGCAGCATTATTTGTTATAGCCAGAACCTGGAAACAACCTAGATGCCCCTCAACCAAAGAATGGATAAAGAAAATGTGGTACATTTACACAATGGAGTACTACACAGCGGTAAAATATAATGACATCTTGAAATTTACAGGCAAATGAATAGATCTAGAAAAAAACATACTGAGTGAGGTAACCCACACTCAGAAAGACAAATATAATACATATTCACTCATAAGTGGCTTTTAGACATAAAGCAATGAAAAACCAGCCTACAGGCCACAACCCCAGAGAAACTAGATAATAAAGAAGACTCTAAGAGAGACCTATACAAATCTACATATGAAGGTGAAAAAGACAAAATCTCCTGAGTAAATTGGGAGCATGAGGGTCATGAGAGAGGGTAGAAATGGAGAGGGGAGGAAGGGAGGAGTGGAGAAAATGTATAGGTCAATAAAAACAATAAAAATACCAACAAATGTATGAGCCTATGGTAGCCATTCTCGTTCAAACCACCACACTGATCCTCCTCTATTTCAGAAAGGTCTCCACCAAGAGTACAGCTTAGAGAGGAACACACACGGAGCTACAAGGAAGGTGGCACTCTCCTAGCCAGCCAGATCAGCTGACTAAATCCTGACAACCAATGGGGGAGCAGATGTCAAAACCAGGTTGCTTTCACATCCATGACTCTTTCGTTCTATCTGTACCCTTTTCCTTAATTCTAGGGATGGTTACCTATAACACCTCGTGGGGTATTTTATGACAGAGTTTCTGTCCATTTTTGTCCATAAAAGGTGACATTTCTTTTTGTCTTTTCCATTACATTGGGGATTGTCTGCTCTGCACATTTTAACTTACCCCTTAACTAAGCAGGAGGGTGGGAATAAACTGAGATGGGCAGGAGGGAAGCTAGACTTCTCCAAGCACACTCATGGTATAGTTTTGCCTTTGAGGCATCATCAGCATCATGTATATCAAGGATGCACTATGGAGAAAAGAAGTCCAGGGAAGAGTAAACCTAAAAGGCAATTGCCAATTACTAAGCAAACTTAAAACCCTCTGAACAACAATAGCACATTCAGAAGACACAAAAAAGGACTCAGATGCAAGTCTAAAGACCGCAGAGGCCGTGGCTGTTTGTAGCGATGCTGGCTGAGCGCAGTGTGCTTCCAAAATGGTGTGTAGTGAGTCAGCATGGTGACTGACGCAGGGTTCTTGCGTTGGCAGCAGAAGCATTTTAGATGGATCTGTGAATAGCATCCTGTTAGATGCTATTGCTACTACTAAAAGGGCCGCCCTGACAACTATTATGTCCTACAGCAACTTGAGGGAGGTGACTGGAAAGTACTTTGTAAAGTTCTCAGCTTGGGTTTTCCATGTGTCAGTCTACACTGGTTACTAGCATTCTGCCTCCAGTTCTAGAAATCATCCGTGTAGGGAGGTGGAGAGGAATTCGAATTGCCCTGCCTTAGTTTTGGAAACCTATGCATTCTCTTGCTCCTACTGTTTCTTCTTGCTTGTTTTTGTTTTTGTTTTTTTTTTTTTTTTTTTGAGATAGGGTCTATCACATAGTTCTAGTTGTCCTGGAACTCACATAGATCCACCTGCAAGTGTTGAGATCCCAATTGCTGAGATTCAAGGTGTGGCACTACCTTTAATTAAAGGTGTAATGGTCTGTCCTGTCCCTTTAAGAGACAAGCAGAAAAGAAGATTGCTTGCCTGGGGTAAGGTGGGAAGGAGTGGGCATGCTTGTCTCCTAAAGGGACAGGACAGACCATTACAAAAAGCACTATGGTTCCTGTTTCTGTGGGTTTCATCTTGGTAGGAATTCACTTAGTTTCTTCAGGGATAATGGGTTTCCTTGAGACATATAGCTGGATATGGTGGTGCATGCCAGTAGGCCTGGCACTCTGGAGGATGAGGTAGGAAGACTGTTGTGAGTTCAAATCGAGTTTGGGCTACATAATGAATACCAGGCCAACTGTAGTTACAGAGAAAGACCCTATCAAATCCCTGACCCCAGGATGGGGGAGCGGGGTGTGTGTGCAGGAAGCTTTGTATAGACTCTATCCACCAGATCGGATCCTGTCTCCTGATGCTGAGATGTAGCTGCCATGGACACACCAAGCCCTGCTCTGCTGAGAGTGGATTCCTTTCTTCGTGGAGGCACAGAGTTGAACACAAAACTTTAGAAATCAAATTAATTCCCAGAGCCTGACTAGTGTTCTGGAAAAGTGCTCTTCAGGAAAAGATAGCAAAATGAAGTGTTAACAGCAGTGTGCAACCCAAACCAACTTGGTTACAAATCTTTTACCTAAATGCAATACTTGATTCCAAAACATAAGGCTGAGATGCATTTGCAAGAGTCTACAACCTTTCAGGGTGAGTCTTCACTTGGGGGCTTTCCTGGCCTGAGGTGTTTCTTGTAAATGTTTGTCAATGTAAGCAAATTGCGTCACCAAGTTACTGAAGGGAAAGGAGGAATTGCTCTGAGAATAGTTGGGTCTTGTGGAGAAAGAGCTGTAAAGGCTCCTAGAGTTGACAGGACAGAATAGTTAGTGATTCTTCCCAACCAGTTAGCACTGTTCAGCTATGCGTAGTTAGCACTAGTCAGCTACACACAGTTAGCACTAATCAGGCATACACAGTGAATAGGGAAGCGGAAGTAGCAGGCTGGATAAGCCCTAGGTGAGTCTCACCAGAATGGAGTGATGATGAGACTAAGCCAGAGCTGGACAGATGACTGAGCAGGAATGTGTGAGGGGAACCAGGTTTCCCAGGGAGGACCCACACAGAGGGGTGCTGCTGATAGGAGCCATTTTGTCCAGAGCTGGACAGATGACTGAGCAGGAATGTGTGAGGGGAACCAGGTTTCCCAGGGAGGACCCACACAGAGGGGTGCTGCTGATAGGAGCAGTCTTGGGCTCTTCTATGGCCGAGCGCACTAAACGGGCTCAACAGGTTTCACATGGAGAAAGTTACGCATGGAGCACAGTGAGATGGGTTTGTAGTTTCCGTCTGCGTCCCTGGAGGGTTACCACTGATGAAGTAGGGCTGGAGCTGAGTACTGAGGGGAAAGGAAAGATAAGAAGTAGCTTGAAGTGAAGGAGCAACCCAGCAGTGACATTAGCATTAGCACAGTGACATTAGCATTAGCATTCAATGCCCTAAGCATTGAAGGACCAGGAAGAGTAGAGCCAAGAATCTAGCAGGGAGAGAAGAACCCAAAATCTAGGTTAGCCTGGTTCAGTGACTCTGTTCCAGGAACTAGCTGACCATAAAGTTAGATTATAATCTTGAGGACAATCTTGAGAAACTGAGGAGTTACCCCTTGTGATTACCACTGGTATTTTCAGAATTTCCCAATGTCGCCCTCCCTACCCCCTTTGGGTTGTGTTTTCTTCCGCTAAATACCCCTTCTCCCAGCTACTTGGGGTTGAACTCCTCTACCCCTGCGTGGGAAATGAGTCTCGGCCCCAGTGCGCTGGTTCCTGTCAATAAACCTCGTGTGATTGCAGCAAGGACAATCTCTCATGAATTCTTGGGGGGTCGTGCTATCCTAAGACTTGAGTGAGAGTCTCCCTACTCTGGGGATCTTTCAGTAACCCAACCATAAGCTGGGTAGGGTCACTGTTAGGAATTTTTCTTAACGCAAGCTCTATGCCAATGCAAATTCCCAATCAAGCTGTAATGAGCATGGAAACAGATTCCTCTGAATGAATAAATAAAGGGGAATCTGTAGTGTAGATAGAGCAGGAAATTTATAGAATAAGAATGAATATAATTTGGTGTAATGTAAAAGCATTTTCTTCTTGTGTGTGGTGTGGAAAATTACTAAGGTGAAATATTAAAAGAACATTTGCCCGCTTGAAGGTTGCCACACCCATCTGGCCTGCCAGATGGGGGAGGCTGCACCCAGCAACTTTGGTAACGAAGTAATCTTGCCACACAAGAGGAACCCCCCACCCTTCTGTGGTCAGTCGATACTGATAACCTAGGACACCTGGTTATCGAAAGGATCAAACGAGGGGCAGTTTTGAATTGGAATAAAAGGGAGGCTGAAGCAGGACGGTTATCTCACTTCTCACAAATGGCTCTGGCATCAGGCCTCCGTGGAAAGAGAGATCCTCCAAGCCTGCCTCCCGTAAAGCAGAAATATTAAACACCTTGCCTAAACATTTAATGCTCTGTCTCCCGAGTACAGAGCTTCGTCTCCCGAAAACAGACATTTAACACCTTGCATCCCGAATGCAAGGCCATATTCCCTGAGAGTGGACATTGAAGGTCTGTCTCTCAAGAACAGACTAGATACTCTGCCTTTCAGAAGGCTTTGCCATCCCGAGAGTAAAGCTTCGTCTTCAAGAGTAGAGAGCTAAAAGCCTTGTCTCCAGAGACTCGGTCACCCGAAAAGCCAAGTCCAAGGCCCTACATTCTGACATCGGAACCTTATCTCCCAAGTGCAGACTACGGGGTCAAGAGTTGATTTACGCTACCCAGCCCCCAGTGAGGACAAGAGCCTAGCCTGAAGAAATTCAAAAAGCCCTTCTTAAGCCAGGGAATACCAGGTCGTATGATGCTATTTCATGTGTGTATGAGAGGTTAAGAGAAGAGCATAGATGTGTTAATACATAAGTTAAGTGTGTGAAATGTTAAGAGATATTTTATGAATAACTGATAAGATTAGGAAATGTTAATAGATAAGTTAAGGTTAAGAAGTGTTTTATAGATAAGTAATAGATAAGCTGTATTAAGGTTAAGTGTTTTATAGATAATAGATAAGCTGTATTAAGGTTAAGAAGTGTTTTATGAATAAGTGATAAGTTAGATTAGGTTATGAATTGGTTTTATGTATTAGGTTTAGTAGGATTAATAATTGTGATATTGAAGTGCCTGTGTGTTGCCCATTATCAATCCCCCATGCCTATTGAGACTGTAACCCCCATTGATGCATTGGATATTGAAGTTGCTAGTAAAGAATCATTATAAAAACAATTCTCTTGCTTGGTCTGGTCACTCATCGCTCTCTGGGGAGAAGGGCACAGAGTCCTCATAGATAATACTCGAAAAGAACCTGGAGCTGAAGTTCCCCAGCTCATAACACAAGCCAAATCAAAACAAGCCAAATTAAGAAATATCCAGGTTTAATGGGATTCCTGCGCTCTCAGGTGGCCCTGAGGGGGAACCGGCAGGCCATGAGGAAGGAAAAAGGACCACGTGTTTCTCCTTTGGGAGCTCACAGAAATACTCTGGGATTTGGAGTCCAGACCAATACAGCTCGCAGGCCTGGGGGCTGGGGGCTATGCTTCCAACTTAACAGTCACCTCCTCTGGTGCGCAACATCAGGAAGGACACCCCCAATGTTCCTGACTCGGGCTCAGCAGGTCCCTTCAGTTTCTATGCCAGGCACTTGCTTTGTTTTTATCTTTCTCTGTAGCTGGAGAAATGGAAACAGGGTGCGGGGTGGGGTGGTGGCTCTGTGTGTGTGGATAAGATCCTGCTTTGTGGTGGATAAACGCATGTGGAACTGGTAATATGTGGAAGTTTTACTTTTTTTTTTAAATATTTATTTATTTATTATGTATACAATATTCTGTTTGCGTGTATGTCTCCAGGCCAGAAGAGGGCACCAGACCTCATTACAGATGGTTGTGAGCCACCATGTGGTTGCTGGGAATTGAACTCAGGACCTTTGGAAGAGCAGGCGATGCTCTTAACCACTGAGCCATCTCTCCCGCCCCCCCTTTTTTTTTTTTACTTTATCTTAGTCCCAAACCAGGGGGAAAGGTGGGGGTGGAAAGCTATCAGTGGGGAGGAGGGGAGGGAGCATTAGTCTGAAGGAAGGGCAGGGGTGAACCGATAAAAAAAAATAATCCAGTTTGTGTCTTAGCCAAAAGACACAAGAGGAAAGTGCCTTGGCCAAGGACCTCAGGAAAGAGGCCCAAGGCCTTCTCCAAGCAGGTCATCTGCAGAGCTGGGATGGCAGGGTCTTTCTTAAACAATAAATGGTCTATCCAATTTTGGTCAGAGCACCCCAAATAAGTGCAATTTAGACAGGTTTAGACAGGTTTCTGTGACAGACCCTGCCTAGAAGGCAGAGAGGTCATCCCAGAAACCAGGACCCACAGAAAGGAGGACTTAAAGAAGTGGAAAAGAAACTTGGCTATCTCCTTCAATTGTGTTTTTTGTGCTTTGGTCGGTAAGCGATCAGGATGGAAAGAGAAGCTATGCCAAACAAGAAAGTCTGTAGGAACCAGAGGAGCTGGGCCTGGCCGTCTGTGATTCCTTTATGCCTGGAAAGGAGGAAATTTAAACAAGAGAATTTTAATGTTGGTGCGAGGGGATTATTGTGTTCTACTTTTAGTTCCATTTACAATTCTGAAAAGTGCGGTACATGAGGATATGGTTTGGGGGGCGTTTAATTTACATCAAACCACAGAATTATCTGAGGAGTTTTAGCAAAGTTACATATACTTGTGTCGAAGCAAGGTCTATCAGATCACAATCTCTGGATCTGGAAACCAGGTATGCATATTTCAAAACAGCTCCTCATGTGATTCTGTTTTGAAACTGGATTAAAAACCAACAGCCCAGATCAATAACTCAGTTCTTTTGCAAATTATAAGACAGAGTATTAACTGCTCTAGTTGGTTAGATACAATTTTTGTTAAATAACTAAATAATTGCCAGGTGATGGTAGCCTCTGCCTTTAATTCCAGAAATCAGGGGGCAGAGGCAGGTGGATCTCTCTGAGTTCGAGGCCAGCCTGGTCTATAGAGTGAGTTCCAGGAAGGCTCCAAAGCTATACAGAGAAAGTCCGTCTCGAAAAACAAAAAAAAAGGGGGAAAAAAAACCCAACTAAATAATTAATTGGTCAATGCAAGCAAACTACAACCACTCATCAAACATTTACTGACTACTTCTGTTCCAGGCTCAGTATTAGGTATAGGGATTCAGGCTGCAGGCTCTCAGTCTCAAAGTGTATAAATTATTTAGACATGGCTGCTCATGACTTACATCAAATACCAAGATGAAAGTGAGACGTTCCTATGACAAAGACTTACTTGCACAATACCATAGCATATATGGACTCTCCCACATGAATCAGACAAGCAAGCCAATACCTGAAACAACAACAAAAAGCCGTCTTTTAGTGTAAGGTTATAGTAATTTACTAATTAACTCTAACACAGAATCTTTAAAAAGAAAGGCATCTCAACGCAAACTAGCATCTCTGTTAGCTACCTAAAGGTAACTGTAGGCCTTACAGGTACCCAGAGAGCCTGGAGCCGCAGTGAGTGTCCATAACCTCCCTTTCCTTACCCATTCCTTAGGAGGGTGTGATGGTGGTCCACCAAGTACTTTGTAAAGGGACCCAGGGGTCCGAGGCTCTGATAAGGGACACTCTGAGGCCAGAAGACAACCCACTGAAAGAGAACCAGAGACACAGAGCATGTCCAGTAAATGATTATATTTAACAGCAGCTGTGGAATAATTATGTTTCTACAAAAACAACTACAGACCAAACCATCCAGTCCTCCTGCACCAACTTTTATTCCTGAATAACAACTTAATTGTGAGATTTATGCTGAAGACAATTGCTTATCAGAATCAGTGTCCAGGGCCGGGCGGTGGTGGCGCACGCCTTTAATCCCAGCACTCGAGAGGCAGAGGCAGGCGGATCTCTGTGAGTTCGAGACCAGCCTAGTCTACAAGAGCTAGTTCCAGGACAGGCTCCAAAACCACAGAGAAACCCTGTCTCGAAGAAACAAAACAAACAAACAACAGCAACAACAACAACAAAAAAACCAGAATCAGTGTCCAGGGTGACTGCTATTCTTTTTGTTTGTTTGTTTTTCGAGCCAGGGTTTCTCTGTAGTTTTTGGAGCCTTTCCTGGAAACTAGCTCTTGTAGACCAGGCTGGCCTCAAACTCACAGAGATCCACCTGCCTCTGCCTCCCAAGAGTGCTGGGATTAAAGACAGGTGCTTTTCTTAATAGACGACAGTAAAATGTTATTTTATGGATGTCATTAGCCATTTGTTAAAGAATTTGCATGCCTTGGCTAGGCTGCAGAAGTTACAGCCGGAGCAGATCTAGCCCCCATTTTAATTTAGAACTGTTCTTTCACCTTCTGGACCCCTAAAACTGAAGTTTGAGCTGCAACTGCCACCTTCTCAGCCTCTGCCGTGTAGTTTCTGTTATTACATGCCAACATTTGCAAAGACTATTACATTACATTATATTATATATTTTATTATAGTCCTGTACATTTCTGTCAAGGATACCTTTACCTCTGTGTGGATATTATTTCACAAAGTCCAGATGAAGCTAATATTGTAACTGCATCTTTCCAAATGAAGGGAACTAAGGGGTTGTACTTGCCAACTCCACAATATCTGTTTGAACTAGCAAAGGCTTCCTCCCTTCTATATCCGCTACACGGGGACCTCAGAACAAAAATAAATCCTTGAAATTTTTCAATTCACGCCTCTGCATATGGTGAAATTAGGACAGAGGTGATCACACTAGACACCAACAACACTGTGGACATGACAATCCTTGGGTCTCCTGGAATATTTAAGTAGCATTTCTTCATAATTATACCAATTGAGCCCAATCATCATCTTTCTCGTTATTCTTTAAATAAAATCTTTCTCAACTGGACAAAAGTTATTCTTCCTCTATGCAACTGTCTTCTTCCACATCCAGTTATATTCTCTCCTTTCCTTCTTACTAATTAAACCCTACCCATCCATTAAGTTTATCATCATTTTCCAAGCAGTTCAAACTTATTCAAACACTCTGCTTCGAATTTTATATTGAGTTGTTAGGTCTACGGAAATATACTAACTTCACATCACCCTTCCCTAAACGATAAAACTTGGTTAAACCTCAATGACTCGGAGGGAGAGGACGCCGGACCGGAACACCGTCAACTAGAAGATCCCCCCAGTGCCCACCGAACTTCCGCGTACACCAGTAACCTAGGCAACCGCTGTTCGCGTGCACAGAAGCCACCCCCCCACCCCCACCGCGCGCGCACTTCGCCCTCAGGGGTCTGGGGGTCAGAAGCGCCCGTGGATCCCAAACCTCACCGCGAAGTAGCCCAGCCCCAGGGCTGTGATCAACGAGGGCCAGGGTCTGGCTGCACGAAAGTATGTAGCGGCGTCCCTGCGGACCTCCGACTTCGCCACCATCATCTTGAGAGCCCTAAACACCGGGTTGTGGGGCAAGACCTGCTTCCCACCCTCGTCCACGCAGGGCGAGCCGGGCAAGCCGGTTTCTCAGGCTTAGCTCGGGCACGCCAGTGCGACTGCGCCACCCGTGCCTGCCGCTTGCCGGCTTTACCGTGTAGTAGCTGAAGGAGACGGTGATGACTGTGAACCAGAACAGGCTGCCCCTTTGGAAATAGCCTGCACCTGGCGCCGTCCCCATCGCTGTAGCGACTCCCCTGGGCTGTCTTTTACACCGGGCGAGGCGAGTGGCTTCCTGTGCACCAGGCCCAGAAGGTTTCGGTTGCGGGTGACCCCGGGAATCCGGTGCAGGAGGCACCTCCCTATTTCAGCTAGAGTGGCTCCTGTTTTGCCGCCCTCACAATGGCGAGACTAGTTTCCGAGCCAGTCCGGTGAGACGCGCACCACGATAAGTATTGCGCCTCCTCCTCATTTGTTTAATGGGTGGGGCCATACACCGCCGGAGCCGACGGTGTCAGGCTACCCCCCCCCCCCCCCCCCCAGTAAACCTTGCGTGGTTCCTTAGCCTGTTCATACTACAAATAAAATACATCTTAGAAAAAGTAATTTTGCCAAATCTCTAATTTTGCCAGTTTATCAGCTGTGTGTGTTGCATTTTTATGGGACGCATTCATTTTGTCTTTTTGTTTTGCTTTTCGAGACAGGGTTTCTCTGTGTAGCTTTGATGCCTGTCAGTCATGGAACTAGCTCTTGTAGATCAGGCTGTCCTCGCACTCACAGTGATCCGCCTACCTCTGCCGCCTCCTGAGTGCCCCCCCCCCATTTTGTCTTGATGAAAGAAATTGGCAGGCATAGTTTAAAAGATTTATTTATTAATAATGTATACAGCATCTGCCTGCATGTATTCCTTCAGGCCAGAAGAGGGCACCAGATCTCATTATAGATGGTTGTAGGCCACCATGTGGTTGCTGGGAATTAAACTCAGGACCTCTGGAAGAACAGTCAGTGCTCTTAACCTCTGAGTCCTCTCTCAGCCCCGAAATTGGTATATTTTTTAAAATATTTATTTATTTAAAAATGTTATTTTTTTCCTACTGCACGTACTGGCTTTGTGGGAGCCTAGGCAGTTTGGATGCTCACCTTACTAGACCTGGATGGAGGTGGGTGGTCCTTGAACTTCCCACTGGGCAGGGAACCCTGATAGCTCTATGGGCTGACAAGGGAGGGGAACTTGATTGGGGGAGGGGGAGGGAAATGGAAGGGGTGCCGGGGAAGAGACAGAAATCTTTAATAAATAAATAAACGGAAAAAAATGTTCTTTTTTCATTTTACATGCCAATCCCAGTTCCTACTCCCTCTGCTCCTCCCGTTACCTCTACCTTACCCCCCATTTCACGTCCCATCCACTCCTCAGAGAAGGAAAGGCTTCCCGTAGGGAGTCAACAAAGTCTAGCACATCACTTTGAGGCAGGACCAAGACCCTTCCCAGTATATCTAGGCTGAGCAAAGTATCCCTCCAGAGAGAATGGGTTCCAAAAAGCCAGTACAAGCAGTAGGGATAAATCCTGGTCTCACTGCCAGTGGCCCCACAATCTGCCCCAGTCATACAACTTTCACCCACGTTCAAAGGGCCTAGTTTGGTCCTATGCTGGTTCCCTCTCTGTCAGGCTGCAGTTGGAAGGCTCCCATTAGCTCAGGGATACCGTTTCAGTGGGTGTCCCCATCATGATCTTGACCTCTTCGTATTCTCACTCCTCCCACTCTTCAGCTGGACTTTGGGACTTCAGCCCAGTGCTCTGCTGTGGGTCTCTGCCTCTGTTTCCATTAGTTGCTGGATAAAGGTTCTACGGTAACATTTGAGATAATAGGATAGTCATCAGTTTGACTACAGGGCAAGGCTAGTTCAGGCACCCTCTCCGTTATTGTTTAGGGTCTTAACTGGGGTCATCCTTGTGGATTTCTGGGAATTTCTCTAGAAATGGCACATTTTTTAAGTTGGTGCAGTTAAAGCATGGTTTTAGACATTTAGACTTAACATCCTTTTTTTTTTTTTTTTTTTTGGACAGAATTTTGCTATGTAGTCCTGGCTGGCATTGGCCTTTAATTTATAGAAATCTGCCTGCCTCTGCCTCCTGAGTGGGATTAAGGGCATATGCCACCAGGTGTAGACCCATTTAAGGTAAACTTTTACCATCACAAGATAATGAAACGCATTGATTGTATACCTGTTTTCTTTCTTTCATTTCCTTCCTTCCTTCCTTCCTTCCTTTCTTTCTTTCTTTCTTTCTTTCTTTCTTCTCGTGTGTGTGTGTGTGTGTGTGTGTGTGTGTTTACATGTGGAAGTCAGAGGACAACTTGTAGGAGTTGATTTTCTATGTTTCACTATGTAGGTTCCAGAGCTTGAACCCATGTAACCAGGCTTGTCTGTAGTTACATTTACTCATGAACCATCTTGCACGCCCCATTTAATTTTGTTTTAGTTAAAAAAATTAATGATAACATAAAACAATAGGGGCAATGAGGTTTTGTTGTTGTTGTTGTTTCTAGACAGGGTTTCTCTGTGTAGCCCCTGGCTATCCTGGGAGCAGGAAAGTAACATCAAGAAAAGTCCTAAAGGGACTTGAGAGATTGATTGGCTGCTCTTTCAGAGGACCCAGATTCAAACCCTAGCACCCACAATACAGCTCACAACTGTCTATAATTCCAGTCTTATGGGATATGGTACCCTCATTTGGCTTCTCATGCCACCAGGCATGTGTTACACAAATATGCATGCAGGCAAAATATTCATACACATGAAATAAATAATTCTTCTTTAAAAAAGAAAAAAGTCCTTTTCAGTCTCCCTCTTAAAGAAGCAGCTTCTGCCCCCCCACCATCTCCCTTTCCCCCTTCTGTCCACCCCCTCTCTCTCTGTCCCTCTCTCTATCTGTCTCTGTCTCTCTGCACACTGACTTCCCCAGGCCTGTACACACTACCTCTAATAAACTCCTAAGAAGGAAAAAAAAGAAAGAAAGAAGCTGGGTGGTGGTGGCGCATGCCTTTAATCCCAGCACTCGGGACGCAGAGGCAGGCGGATCTCTGTCAGTTCGAGGCCAGCCTAGTCTACCAAGTGAATTCCAGGATAGGCTCCAAAACTACAGAGAAACTGTGTCTCAAAAAGAAAAACAAACAAACAAAAAAAAAACAAAAACAGAAGAGCTTGCATCACACAATGCTGTGTTGTGGGGCTAAACACAGTCTGTGGGGTGTTTTTCAAAAGGTTGAAGAACTTGGTGGATGCCCACAAAAGCCTAGCCTCAGAGAGTGGGGGAGAAGAAGGGAATGGAGGGGGATGGAGACATTGGCCACCACAATTGATGACTTAGGAACATTAAAAAAGATTGAACAATTTGGAACAGATTTTTTTTTTTTTTTTTTTTTTTTGGCATCAGTCTTTGCCAGTGATGCCTAAATAATGGAGTGAGAGAGAGGAGGGGCAGACTGGAACTGAAGAGATGGTAAGACAGTAGGCACAGAGGGTTTCTGCTCCTGGGGTTTCCTGGCAGCAGCTTGAGGTAGAAGGGACAGGACAGGTCACCCCTAAGTGGGAACTCAGGATGCTGAGAGAAAATGACAGCAAACAGCAACATACCTGTCTGGAACTTTGAATTTTGGGGAAGAAAACAAATGCTAGAAGAAGCATAGGTTTACCCTACATCTTGTTTTTGGGTAGAACAATTCAGCAGATAAAATCCTTGCGCAGGCCTTCAATCCCAGCGCTTGCGAGGAGGAGACAGGTGGGTCTCTATGAGTTTGAGGCCAACCTGGCCTACATAGAGAGTTCCAGAATAGCCAGGGATATACAGTGAAACTGTTTCAAAAAAAAGAAGAAAGAAAGAAAAAGAAAAAAGATCCTTGTTGTAGGACCAGATTTTTTTCATACACTCACCAAACAGGCCCAGAAGACTGGGGCTGGGACTCAGTTCTAGGGCTTGCCTGATGCAAGGTTTGGATGTTTGAATCATGCATAATGTATACACTTTCCAGTTCAAAAGAAAAAGAAAAGCAAGCTACTCATATTGCTTTCCACATTTACTACAAGCTAATGTGTTTTGGTTGGTTGGGGTGGGAACATGCTTTGGATAGAGGAGAGAATTAATCATCTGTGGCCCACGTCCAAGATGGGAAGTTGGGTGGGGGTAGGGACGGCTAGATCAAGCCATCTGTTTTTCTTTATAATTTATTTCTGTCTGGCCCCCCAATCCTCTAGTAGCTCAGATGACCTTGAGTTTCTGATCCTCCCGCTCCTGCTTCCTGAGTACTGGGATTCTCAATAGGTGCTGGGGCTGGGTTTGAGCCCTTGGCCCTGTGTACTTAGGTGAGCACTCTGTCCCCTGAGCCACTTCTCTAGTCCCTCCCCACTTTTACGGTTGACTTTTTCTCTCTGGCTGACTAGTGATTCTTGTGGAGTTGTACTTCTTGCTGTCAGCACCATCTCCCTCCTCAACTTCAGCTGCCTTTGTCAGCAGCTGCCTCAGCCTCACGGTGCCTTTCTTTCTCTGCGTCCTCTTTCTCCCCTTCTTTTTTCCTTCTTCGTTTACTGCCTTGCCTGCCTGCCACCTGGGACTGCTCTCTTTCTCTTTTATTATGTTTTTGAGACAGGATATCTCTGTGTAGCCCTGGCTGTCCTGGAACTCACTCTGTAGACCAGGCTGACCACAAACTCATAGAAATCTACCTGGCCTCTGCTTCCTTAGTGCTGGCATTAAAGGCGTGTCCCACCAGGTCTGGCTTGGGACATCTCTTCTCTCTCTGCCTATAAGCTTTTGGAGATGATCTAGGAGATTGGTAATGTGTCCCGGGCTTCCTCTGGCACAGTGGGGCATGCCAGAGCTTTAAACGACAGTGTTTGTGGAGACTGGAGGAAAAGCCATGAGACTCCAGCGCGCGCTCTCACAGGAGGAGGCTGCTGGAAGCAGGTAGCAACATGGGAATAAAGATGAGCCAGCTTTCTGGAGAAGCATCATTTTGGTCTCTCTCAGCGCATCTCTAGCATCATCCCACCCCCATCTATCCCAGTGAACATGGTGCTGCTCCCAGAGCAATGGTTGAGGTCCGTAAGCAGACAGCACAGGACCACTACAGCCACTGCTCTTGAGTGGGGTCGCCCAGGACGTCTTGATCTGTTCACTGGTGTGTTCCTTTAACCTCAGCTTCATTAGGTCTACCGAACATGATCCATCCTGAAATCAAGCCGGAAACTCAGAGCTCCAACTTTTCTCCAGCCCAAAACATTATTTCTGATCGGTGGTGGTGGCACATGTCTTTAGTTCCAGAGCTCTGGAGGTAGAGTTCGAGCCTCGGCTTTCTGAGTAGATAGGAATTGTAAGTGTCCATTTTCCCCATTCCTGCTTAGAACTAAAGGTGAAGATGGGAGGAGTCAGTAGGAGCATCAGGAATTTAAGGTCATCTTCAGCTACGTGGGATGGGGTGGGGCGCGGGAATTGAGGCTAACCTGGGCTACAAGAGATACACAGAAACCAAACAATTCAATGCCTATAGAACACAAGAGTCAGCTGGGCGGTGGTGGTGCACGCCTTTAATCCCAGCACTTGGGAGGCAGAGGCAGGCAGATCTCTGTGAGTTCGAGGCCAGCCTGGTCGACAAGAGCTAGTTCCAGGACAGGCTCCAAAGCTACAGAGAAACCCTGTCTCAAAAAACCAAAACAAACAAACAAAAAAATCCACAAGAGTCTTATAATGTCCTTTCCAATGTCACCATGGGCCCTCTATTGCCTATATTCGCAGTATTCATTAATCGCTCATTTATTGAATGTCATGGACACTGTGAGCTAGACAGACTTTGGTTCTCACGTAGCTTTCACTTGTACTACATCAGTGGAATGTGGTAAGCTTGAGCTTCAAGGTCCTCAGCTCACTCTGGTCTAGGAGATCTACCCTCACTGCCTTCCAGCCTCGGTGGGAATAAAACAATGCCAACATTATAAAGATAACACAGGGATTAAACATGAAGATTCCTTTCGGTGTGTGTCTCAGGAACGCAAGGTGTGTTTGAAAAGGCAGACTGGTGGTCCTGGGTGGAGAATAAGGCTGGGTCAAGGGTGGAGCCTTGTTTTGAGTGAAGATTGGGTGGGTTCTTTAGGGCGTTTCTGAGGAGGGGGCAACCTTCACTTATTTATTATTATTATTATTATTTTATTATTATTATGTTTTTCTGAGACAGGGTTTCTCTGTAGCTTTGGAGCCTGTCCTGGCATTCGCTCTGTAGACCAGGCTGATCTTGAGCTCACAGAAATTCACATTCCTCTGCCTCCTGAGTGCCGGAAGCTGGGATTAAAGGCGTGTGCCACCACCGCCGGGCTCTTCACTTATATAATTAGGAAAAAAAAGCTTTTTTTTTCTTTTCTGAAGCGAGCAAGGTTTGGGATTGGAAATTTCCCAAATGGCTTCCAAAGGTAAGTTCCTTGCATAGGGACCAAACTCTGGCTTTTGTAGCTGGCTATTTATCTACCCAGGAATCTCTAACCTTTGATATTTTGACATATTTATCTATAGATGTGTTCGGCTGCATTCATCCCGGCACAGTCTGCCTACAAGTTGGGCACGACTGTATCTGGGCTTTTGTTTGTAGGGATGTGAGCTACCATTTCTCCTTTGTCTGTTTGTAGGGATGTGAGCTACCATTTCTCCTTTGTCTGTTAGTAGGGATGTGAGCTACCATTTCTCCTTTTTTAAATCTCTTAAAAGCAGCTTGTAGCATGGAGGCCGCTCTTATAAACAGTGTAATTGTTTCTGTCTGCTGCCTGGTGAAATGGTTGGTGGAAATTCCCCAGAGACTCAAGTGCCTACAAATAAATGTGTGCTTACATTAAAGGGGGCGTCTCCTATCTTAGAGGTCTACATGAACTATTTGCAGGTAACATAAAACTATGCTTGGGATTGCATTTGCAGTGTTGGGTCAGTGTGGAGATAAGCAGGATGTGTGTTAGAGAATGGCCCCAGCCCAGCAGCCTTCTGTATCAAAGTGAATGGCCATGATGAACATGGCCTCAGGAATAATCCCTGGTCCAAAGGGAAGAGGGCTGAATCAAGAGGTAGGGCCTTTGGGCTCTTTTAGTTTTCTGAATTTTTGTAGAGGTGCTTTTTGATGCAGGAGGACTGGGGCCTCAGGTCAGTGGTAGATTACTTGGTAGGCCAGTGTGAGGCCCTGGGTTCAGTCTGTACCACCAGAAAAAAAAATACTGGATAAATCCAGGAGTATATATTATAAGAGCCAGGGACCGGCTAATCTGGTATAGAATTGTCAGAGCAATGTAAAGGACCCCCCATGGGCAGACAAAGCAGTGTAAGGCTGATTTTCTTTTCCACATCAGAAATAGTTTCTAAGGAAAAAACGCTTCAATCTGGGGCATGTTACCTGAGGCAGACAATGTAAATGCTGGACCCATGGGGTTCCTGGAGCTGTTGGGACTGGCCAAGAGCTCTGATTTTTTTTTTTTTTTTCACTATACAAACGAGGAAGAGCTCTGATTCTCTAGCTATGACTTTTGCCTGCCTCAGGTAGAGCTTCTCATTTTTTTTTTTTTTTTTTTTTTTTTGGTTTTTCGAGTCAGGGTTTCTCTGTGGTTTTGGAGCCTGTCCTGGAACTAGCTCTTGTAGACCTTGAGCTTCTCATTTTGTCTTTCTCCAATAACAATAGTAAATTCAACCTACTGCTGGGTTGAAGGACCAGCTGTACTCCTGTCTCAGCCTTGTAGAGATGTGAGACACATGGTCATCTTCTTTCTTCCCTTGGCTGTTGGAATGTGACATCCACCTTTATGTTTCTTCTGTTCTTTGTTGCTATAACAATGGCAGAGTCGGGTAATCTTCCTTCCTTTCTTTCCTTTTCTTCTCTTTTTTTTTTCCTCCACTTTTGGTTTTATGAGACAGGGTTCTTCTGTGTAGCTTTGGAGCCTGGAAATTGCTCTGTAGCCCAGGCTGGCCTCAAACTCAGAGATCTGCCTGTCTGCCTCCCAAGTGCTGGGATTAAAGGAATGCACCACCACTGCCTAGCTAAAATATATTTTCGAATTGGTTGGTGAAAAACAAAATTCACTGACTGGATTTAAAAGTGTAGTGTTTAATGGTATTAGCAGTTTGTTTAATAAACCAGGACTTTGCTTTGCTTGAGGGGAGGGCACACAGAAGCCAGAAGACAATTTCTAGGGAGTCAGTTCTATCCTCATGTGGATCCCAAGAGTCAAACAAATTCTGTCAGGCTTGGGGTTAAGAAACGTTCTTTTCTGAGCCATCTTGATGACCCTATATTAGTTACTTCTAAATGCATGACCAATCTATTATTTTAACCTGTTACACAATTAAATGTCTAAAACTCTCACTTTGTGAATGTTTATTGTAGTCATCTGAATGAACCTGAGTACTATGGTCATGGCCCTAAAGTTAGCATGTTGAAAAAAAGCATCCTCAATGTATCAGTACTAAATGTAGGGCCTATACAAAGTGATTGGATCCTGCAGGCCACTGCCTCCCAGAGTGGGTAATGGCACGAGAGGGGGTGAGTTAGCGTCAAGGTGATTTTAACACTGGGGTGAACTTGAGTATGTAGAGCCTACCCTAGTTCTCAGCTATTCCTTTGGGCTGATTAAGTCAGTCTAAACAATATTTGTTTTTATTTTACATATTTGAGTATTTGCCTGTGTGTGCAAGCCTGGTGCCCACGGAGGTCAGAAGAGGGTGCTGGATCACCTGGTATTGTAGTCACAGGCAGCTTGAGCCACCATCTTGGTGCTGGGAAGAGAAGCGACACCTCTCCAGCTCCTAATTTAGTATTTTTTCAGTAGTAGCCATTCTTTTCTTTTTTTTTCTTTCTTTTATTGAAAATAGATTTTTTTTCCTCACACAATATATCCTGATTATAGTTTTTCTTCCCTCTCCTAGTTACCTCCTCCTTCTTCATGACCATGGGAGATCTTTCCACCTACTAGAAGCAATTTCTTTCTTCAAAGACTTGAAGCTTTTACCATGCAAATCTTTCAGTTGCTTAGAGTTACACCAAGATATTTTATTTTATTTGAAGCTATTGTGAAAGGTGTTGCTTCCCTGATTTCTTTCTCATCTGTTTATCGTTTCTATATTCGAGGACTACTGATTTTTTGAGCTGATCTTATTTGTATGCAACCTCTTTGAAGGTGTTTATCAGCTGTAGGAATACCCTGGTGGAATTTTTAGTGTATTTTTTAGTGTATGTATACTATTATATCATTCACAAATTAGACTTCTTCCTTTCCAATTTAGTGCTTTAGCTAAAACTTAGTACTATATCAAATAGATATGGGGAGAGTACAGTCTCGTCTCGTTCCTGATTTATGTGAAATTGCTTTGAGTTTCTCTCTATTTAACTTGATATTAGCTATAGACTTGCTGCAAATTAACTTTATTATATTTAAATATGTTCCTGTAGCTCTAATTTCTCCAGGACTTTTTGAATGGCTGTAAGATTTTTTTTATCAGAGGCCTTTTCTGCATCCAATGAGAACATCATGTGTTTTTGTTTCTTTTAAAAGAAAAAGAAAAAGGTCTTTATGAATAGTCAGTCAACAAATGAGTGTTGTTGTTGCTCTGGAGCATCTCTGGGTGCTGCTGATGTCTAATGCATTTCTGTTTCCACATTTTCCTGGCTCTCCTGACAAAGAAGACAGTTGCAGTAAAGCAAGAACAGAGCGTGGAAGAGGAAAGTTAAAACCACGACATAAGTTTACCAAGGATGACCTGAAGATACTTCAACAATCATTTGAACAGGATCGTTATCCAGATTTCACAACCAAGGAAACTCTGGCCCAAGAGTGCAGGTGCACAGTGTATGTGATTGAAGTAAGTCAGATCTCTGCAGCTTTTCACGAGGATATGCCCTTTTGTGGGCCATTTAGAAAATGAAGCAAAGAATCATAGGAAAGCTGACACGTCTTGGCATCAGGCATTGTTAACATGTCAATTTTTTTCTTTCAATTTGACACAGCTTAGATAGAAAATAACTTATTATGAGGGACTTTGGAAGCAGGAACTTGAAGGATGTAAGCCCCTCCAGGTCTGGAGAGATGGCTCAAGAGCACAGGCTGCTCTTCTAAAGGAACTAGGCTCAATGCCCAGCACCCACCCAGCTGATGCTCTGGAACTCCAGTTCTAGGGGATTTGACATCCTTTTCTGACCTTTACAGGCATGTCACAAGCATGGTACACAGATACACAAGCAGGCAAAACACCCATACAACATAAGATAAAAAATTTAGGCCATGAATGGTTGTGGATGCCTTTAGTCTGTAGACTGACATGGGTGCTGTGAGAGGCAGGGGGATCTCTTTGAGACCAGCCTGGTCTGCAGAGCAAGTTCCGGGACACCTAGGGCTACAGGGACAAACAAACCCTGTCTCCAAATAACAGCAACAAATTAAAAGTTATTGGCATCGCACAGGATAGGAACTGTGATGGTTTTATGCTGGTGATAGCTATGGCAAGGACAAAGTAGGAAGACTTCCAGGTGTTGATTTTAGGATTGAAAATGCTGTCCATTTTAAAGGTGGAACAGTCTGCTGAGAGATCAGATATATAACAAGGGAAGGGGAGAAAGGATTGCCTTGAAAAATGAAATTGGAAGATTAGTATTGTCTTCCTTCCTATGCTGACTTGATCTTACACAGGTCTGCTGTGTGGTTGGGTTTTTTTTTTTTTTTTTTTTTTTTTTGGATTTTCGAGACAGGGTTTCTCCGTAGCTTTTGGTTCCTGTCCTGGAACTAGCTCTTGTAGACCAGGCTGGCCTTGAACTCACAGAGATCTGCCTGCCTCTGCCTCCTGATTAAAGGCGTGCGCCACCACCGCCCAGCCTGTATGGTTGTTTTATAATGAATCAAATCTACTTTGAAGTGTGAGTTCACGAGTGTAACAGCTGGAAGAAGCGCTCACAACATATTTCCTTGGTATTTTACATTCTTTTGTTTTGTTTTGATTTTTTTTTTGTTTTGTTTTTTCAAGACAGGGTTTCTCTGGAGTAGTCCTGGTTGTCATGGAACTAGCTCTTGAAGACCAGGCTGTCCTCAAACTCACAGAGATCCACCTGCCTCTGCCTCCTGAGTGATGGGATTAAAGGCGTGTGCCACCACCTCCCGGCCTTTGTTTTTTGTTTTTTTGTTTTTTTTGGTTTTTTCGAGACAGGGTTTCTCTGTGGCTTTGGAGCCTGTCCTGGAACTAGCTCTTGTATACCAGGCTGGTCTCAAACTCACAGAGATCCGCCTGCCTCTGCCTCCCGAGTGCTGGGATTAAAGGCGTGCGCCACCACCGCCCGGCTTTTGTTTTGTTTTTTTGAGACAGGGTTTCTCCGCGAAACATTCCTGGCTGTCCTGAAACTCACCCTGTATAGATTAGTCTATCCTTGAACCCGCAGATCCACCTTTGCTTCCCGAGCTCTGGGATTAGAGGAATATTCCACTACTGCCTGGCAGGATTTTACACTCTTTTACAGTCTTCCTCCATGGTGTTCCTGAGCCTTGGAGGGGTTTGTTGGTGTAGATGTCCCTTGGAGAATTGGGCCTCACAAGCACTCAGTACCTTGACTAATTATAAGTCTCTACATTAACTACTGTCTGCTGCAAAAGAAGTACCTTTGAGGAAAGTCCAAGGACCTCCCACCTCCATCCAGGTCTAGTAAGGTGAGCATCCAAACAGCCTAGGCTCCCACAAAGCCAGTACGTGCAGTAGGATCAAAAACCCAGTGCTATTGTCCTTGACTTCTCAGGAGTCCTCATTGTCCGCTACGTTCAGCGAGTTCAGCGAGTCCGGTTTTATCCCCTGCTCTTTGGTCTGATGAGGGAGGGGGAGTTGATTGGGGGAGGGGGAGGGAAATGGGAGGCGGTGGCGGGGAGGAGGCAGAAATCTTTAATAAATAAATAAATAAATAAATAAATAAATAGAAACAAAAAAAAAAGAAGTACCTTTGAAAGGTTGAAAGCAGCACAAACATACGATTATAAAAATAATCCTTGAAAAGACAGGGAAAAATGAAGACAGCATTTCCTAGGCCTGCACATTACGAAGATTGTGAGCTGTGCAACCCCTCCCCGACTCTTCCACTTCCATGTTTAAGTATGGAAGCCTGCTCCAATCAGCCCTGTTGCAGCCTCTGCAACTACACAGAACAAACCGGAACTGCCCTTTAACACTTGCGGTTGTGTTAATTAAAGGAGCAGAAGGAGAGAGAGCACGAGCAAGGAACTCAGGACCGCGAGGGGTGCACCCACACACTGAGACAATGGGGATGTTCTACTGGGAACTCACCAAGACCAGCTGGCCTGGGACTGGAAAAGCCTGGGATAAAACCGGACTCTCTGAACATAACGGACAATGAGGACTACTGAGAACTCAAGAACAATGGCAATGGGTTTCTGATCCTACTGCACGCACTGGCTTTGTGGGAGCCTAGGCAGTTTGGATGCTCAACTTACTAGACCTGGATGGAGGTGGGGGTTCCTTGGACTTCCCACAGGACAGGGAACCCTGATTGCTTTTTGGGCTGGGGGGGACTTAATTGGGGGAGGGGGAAGGAAATGGGAGGCGGTGGCGGGGAAGAGACAGAAATCTTTAATAAATAAATAAATTAAAAAAAAAATAAAGTGTGGTGGTGGCGGCGCACGCCTTTAATTCCAGCACTCGGGAGGCAGAGGTAGGTGGATATCTGACTGTGAGTACAACCTGATCTACAGAGTGAGTCCAAGATAAGACTACACAGAGAAACCCTGTTTCGGAAACCAACAATACACAAAATTTGTAACATGATCATTTAGCAAACTGAGTAGGTTCCTCACTAGTGACTTTAAACTCTGAATCTTCTTGCCTCAGTTTTCCAAGTGCTAGGATTATGGGTGTGTATCTCAAGCCCTTATTTATTTATTTAATAATTATGAGAAAGTATCTCATTATGTAGCCCCAGCCATCCTGGAACTCATTATGTCAGCCAGGCTGATCTTGAACTCACAGAAAGAACCTGCTGCTTCCCAAGTATTGGGTTTAAAGGTGTGTGCTCTCAGACCTGTCCTCCATCCTTAAAATATTTTTTATAATTTCCACACACCCCCTTCCCTGCAAAAGCTTTGGACCATGATTTTCATGTATAGCTATTATTTTTTTTAAATATTCTTTTTTTTAAACATTTTATTATTTATTTATTTAACTTTATTATGTTCGTTGGTGTGAAGGTGTCAGATCTCGTGGAACTACATTTTCAGACAGTTGTGAGCTGCCATGTGGGTGCTGGGAATCGAACCCGGGTCCTCTGGAAGAGCAGTCAGTGCTCTTAACCGCTGAGCCATCTCTCCAGCCCTATAGCTATTATTTTTAAGGATGCTAAAAATGAATCCAGATGTGCCTAGGACCACATAAAACACCTACCATGCCATGGCTAAGTCTTGCCTCGTTTTGTGTCACCCATAAGAATATAGCTTGTAATCTATTGTATCTTGGCTGGGGGCAGCTAGGTGAAGTGTCTAGAAAGTGTTAAGGGGCAGTTCCGGCTTGTTCTGTGTAGATGCAGAGGCTGCAACAGGGCTGATTGGAGCAGGCTTCCATACTTCATTTTCCCTGTCTCTTTAAGGTCAGGAAGCAAGACAGTAAGGCTGACTCTTACTACCCTGTGAAAGTTCCTGTGGAAATGGCTGTGAAACTTGGCAGGGTGGCACACATCTTACTCCCATTGCTCTGTGGGTGGATCTCTGAGTTTGAGGCATAGGGAGTTCCAGGACAGCCAGATCTACATAATAGGGAGACCCTGTGTCAAAACAAAGGGGGAAAAGGGAACAGGAAAAGAACACTGTGGGGCACTGCTAGAAAGCAGATTTGATTAACAATTTCCTTTTTCTCTTTAGAACTGGTTTCAGAACAGAAGAGCAAGGCTATCAAAATTTAGAGACAAAAGTTTTGGCACCAAGAGAATGCACAAGAGCCAAGACTACATACTTACAGGACACCAAGATACCCAGGGGCAAGCTCCCAATTACAGTGTTGAGCAGGTCTCTTATCACCAGGTGGCACCATTGAGTCTCCCTATCTATTCTTTGGAGCCCCAGGAAGCTTCTGGTGAATGCTATGGTCCAAAGCAATAGAATGAGATCAGGTGGAGCTGTGTGCTATCAAGGTACCAGTGGAACTGGATCTTCTTTCACCTTCAAACCAACAGACTTTACTCCTCCCCCTATGTGTGTGCAGTTTTATAAGGGTGATTGACCTGAGACGCGAAAAAGCCAGTGTCCTCTGTCTTTGGCTGTTCCTGGTGTGCAGGGGCAGAGGCAGATAGATGACCGTAACTATTCCTCGCTGTTCCCAGAACAGCGGCTGAATGACTGTAGAGAACAGTGACAACTGCAGCGGCTCTCAGGCTGTTAGGACAAATTTGGTCCAAGTGACAGTGTCACTGTGGCTAATGGTGCACGAACAACTCTGCAGTAACACAGCACGAACAACTCTGCAGTAACACAGTCCAAGCCTTTGAAGAAACAAGTGGTGCATTCGTTCATGGAGGTCCAAGGACAATTTGTGGGAACATCTTCTTGGACTCTGTGGGTTTTGAAGATCAAACCTTGGGTCTTTAGGGCAAGTGGCTGAACCAGCTGAGCCATCTTTCTGGCCCAAACTGAGGTTCTTTGTCTTTCCCCCTAGGACTGCAAATATGTGTCACAACATGTCTGACACCTCACGGTTGTGGTGCTGGGCTGCGAGCCCAGGCGCTGTGCATACATTCACAAATAAAGATTTAGCTCAATACTAAGAACATTTGTTTTCGCAGAGGACCGAGACTTAGTTCCCAGCACCTTCATGGTAGTTGACAACTTTCTGTAATTACAGGGAACTCAATGCCTTGTGATTTTTTTTTTCTGAGAAAAATTTTTATTGGCCTTTTGGATACAATTTATTTGCCAGGTGATGTGGGAGTCTTCTGTTTTGTGTTGATTTCATTGGTTAAATAAAGAAACTGCCTTGTGATGGAGGAAGGTCATTGGTTAATTATAATAAAGAAACTGCTTGGCCTCATAGGTTAAAACATAGGTGGGTGGAGTAAACAGAACAGAATGCTGGGAGGAAGAGGAAGTGAGCTCAGACTCGACAGCTCTGCTCTCTGGAGCAGAGACGCCATGCTCCCCTCTCCTGGGCAGACGCGATAGCTCTGCTCTCTGAGGCAGACGCGATCAAGCTCCGGCCCAGGATGGACGTAGGCTAGATTCTTCCCGGTAAGTGCATCTTGGTGCTACACAGTTTATTAGAAATGGGTTGATCGGGATATCAGAATTAGCTGAGAAGAGGCTAGATATAACGGGCCAAGCAGTGTTTAAAAGAATACAATTTGTGTGTTGTTATTTCGGGGCATAAGCTAGCCAGGCGGCCGGGGTGCTTTGGATGCAGCCCCGTCGCTCCTATTACAACAGCCTTGGCCCTTTGATAGGATAGAAAATTAGGTAGGCAGAGTAAACAGAACAGAATGCTGGGAGAAAAGCTGAGTCAGGCAGTCGCCATGATTCTCCCACTCCAGACAGATGCAGGCTAAGATCTTTCCTGGTAAGCCAGCTCGTGGTGCTACATGGAATATTAGAAATGGGTTAGATCAATATGTAAGAGCTAGCCAATAAGAGGCTAAAACTAATGGGCCAAGCAGTATTTAAAAGAATACAGTTTCTGTGTAATTATTTCGGGGCATAAGCTAGCCATGCGGGAGCCAGGGCAGCCAGAATGCAGCCCACCACAGCTCATACAACATCATATCCCATCATATTTCTGTGGGAACCAGATCATGGCTTCCTCTTTGCTGATTCTGTGTTTGACCCCAATGCAGCCTGTCCTGCACTTCTTGTCTGCAATTCTGAAACCTGGCCTGCCCAGCACCACGTAGAAGTCCAGGCCGTAGATCCCAATGCTTGGATCATATCTGATGCCCAGGTCAATGTGTTGTTGAATCCCAAAGCTGAAGTTCCCAGTACGAGAAGTTATTTTTCCGAAACTCATCCTCCTGAACCTTCAGGCCTTTCTCCAGAGTTTCTTCTGCCTTGGCTCCACGGACAGTGCAGTGAACAGCAATCTTCTCCTTTCTCCTGATGACGAAGGGCCTGATGGTGTACTTAGCTTTGGAAAAGACAGGTGTCTAGCCTGTGAGCTGCTCCAACACCTTGGCTGCTGGGGTCAGCCTGTCTCCGCTCTCCCCAACACAGATATTGAGGCAGAGCTGGTGGATTTGAAGTTTGATTTGCTTCAAAGTTGCTGTCCTATTTCTCACCAAGATAAGCACAGTGGTGATCTTGTATACAATGGACAATCCCCCGCTCCAAGTGAGATGTCTGAACAAGTTGGGGACCATTTTTTTTTATATATGGGTTATTATCTGTCTTTGATGACCAGATGAAATTTATGGTCCGTTGAAAGGAAAAACAAGTTTAACTTATATAAGTGAGTTTGAAGAACAAAACAATAAGAATGATTGGCAAATTGGGTCACCCTCAGAGTCAGAGCAACTTCTAAGAAGTGTGGCCAACAACACACACAGTAGCATCTAAAGAAAAAAGAATCAGCTGGGCGGTGGTGGCACACACTTTTAATCCCAGCACTATGAGGCAGAGACAGGTGGATCTTTGTGAGTTCAAGGCCAGCCTGGTCTACAAGAGCTAGTTCCAGGACAGGCTCCAAAAGTCACAGAGAAACCCCGTCTCGAAAAACCAATAAATAAACAAATAAATACGAAAAAGAAAAAAGAAAGCGAGAATAGCTGGTTCCAGCTTAACCAGTCTTTTAAAAAGCCTCCAATTAACTATAAAGTCAGAGAGTTGACTTTCTGTCACCAGGAAAAACAATTTAAAAGTTTAAAATATTTGTTTTGGGTCATAGAAATTGTATTTTTGTTTTTGAGATTTACTTTGTGTGCATATGGGTGTCTTGCCTGTATATACGTCTGTACAGTGCTTAAAGACACGGGAAAGGGGGCTGGAGCCCCTAGAAATTGGAGTTACAAATGCTTTATAGATGCTATGTGGGTCCTAGGGATTGAACTTAGGTTTTCTGAAGAATAGTTAGTACTTTTAACCACCAAACTATTTTTAGCCCCCTTTCTTTTTGAAACAAGTGTTTGTGTATCCCAGAATAGCTTAGAACTCCCTATATATCAGATTTACTGTGTAGCACAGATGACCTTGAACTTTTGATCCTTCTGCTTCTACTTCCTGAGTGCTGGTTTGCACCATCATACTTGATCTATGCAGTGCTGTGGGTTGAATTTAGGGCATTGCATGTAGCAGGAAAACAATGCCAACTGAGCTATATCCCCAGCACACAGACTGTGTTTTTAAAGGGTCATTTGCTCTGTTTTTTGGACCTTCAGAAAGGCCAAAAGTAGTTAGGAGTGCTTGGTTGAACAAAACTGCTTCCATCCTGCAGTGTCAGGAAGTGAAAAGAGTGAGAGAGGACAGGGCTTGGGGTACCACTATCTCTTTCAAAGCACACCCTCACTGGCCTTCCACTAACCATACCCCACCTCTATTTTCCAGCAGCACCACAGGAGGGCTGTGCTTGCTGTCCACAGCAAGTGGAGTGACCAGGGGAGACATGATCCTCCATCTGTATTTTTGGATCTACTGCCGCGCGGCTTCTGATTTTGAGTCTATGTCTGTCTTTTTGTTCTTGTATATTTTCAGTTCTACACCACAGTGGTGGTGAGAGCACCTGCTTCTGGTTTTGAGTTTATGTCTGTCTCTTTGTATTTTTTGTTTTTGTATGTCGGTTTGTCTTTGTTAAAATCCACCTGCAGAAATTCAGAACCTGGCACCGGCCCCCTGGCCATCATCAGTTCACCCGTGATTCCGAAAGTAGCCCCACTGCTGGAGGAGGTGGTGGCTGCCCATCCCCGAGCCTTTTGTCTTCTCTCTTTCCTGTACAGGAATGAAAAAAACCCAGAATCCAGGCACATCTGGTTCTTCCTGATATCCAGCCGAGCATGACAGACTTCTCCCTCCTCCTCCCCCAGAGGAAGCACTTCATTCCTGAGGAGCCCTGCTGGTCGGGCCCTAGCCCTGTTCTTGGGACTCTCAGGCCATGACCAAGCTTATAGAATCTGTTCTGGTTATTCATTGGCCCATTTGGGATGATTGCCAGCAGTTCTTACAGGTGCTCCTAACCACAGAGGGAAAAAGAATGTCCCAGGAGCTGACAGCAGGCCAACCCAATCACCGGACAAGATAGAGGATGGGACTTCAATACTCCAGCTGGTAGGGAGCAGATCCATCTTTATTGCCAGAGTCCAGTTGGCGGGTCTAAAAAAAGGAGGGGGGGGTTGCAAAGCACCCCACTAATTTGCTAATTTGGCTAAGGTAAGAGCAATAGTACAAAGGTCTGATAGTACTCCTACAGGATTTTTAGAAAGACTATTTGAGGGTTACAGGATGTAAACCCCTTTTGATCCCATGGCAGCAGATCACCAAGCCAATGTAGTGATGTCTTTTATAGGCCAGTCAGCATCCGATATTCGTAGCAAGTCGCAGAGAATGGTGGGACTGCAGAGATGCTCCCTCCAGGACTTAGTAAAGGGAAAAAAATTAGACAGATAGGGAGGCAGAGACTGCGCACCTCAGACAGAGCAGCCCCCGAGTGGCCCAATGCAGACTTCAGTGAGCAGCCCTACAGGACTTTGGGCTGGAGACACTTCCCAAAGCAGCTGCTGAGCAGAAGCAGGTCGGAAAACGGCACCGAGCACAGCCGGCTACTGAAGTGATGCTCTGCCCACCTGAGAGGCCTATGCAGCAGCCACAGTGACAGTACTGAAATTCCCCCCCTTGTTTATACTGTACACCCAGGTGTCCAGTGTCCGATTCTGGGGTGTACGGGGGGGGGGGGGAGGAGTTCCCCTTCGCTATGTCTAAAGCATTTGACTATGGACACAAGGATGGCTGATTATTCCTGAGTGTCCCACACTTTTATTAGAAAAAGACCTGTTGGAGACTTTGACTTCCCCTACTGTTCTCCAGGGCTGTAAAGAATAGCAGGCTGCTCTCTGCCTTTGCCGTGCCCACCTCGCTGAGGAAGGCTCTGCAGCCACGGCCGGCTGAATCCTCCTCCCAGCTGCCTTGGTCAAAGCCCAAGCTTGGGAACTCTGCTTACAGCTACCTGCCCAGGCAGGTAGCAACTGACTGAAGCGAGGAGGGGCCCAATTCCAATCAGCCTTCCCAAGCTGCTTGCAAGTTTCACAGAGAACA